TTCAAAAGGGAGGAGACATTTTTCAGGGGAGAAGATATATTTATCCAATGGAAAATGGGTCTGTGAAATTTTCTAGGTAATGCAAACAAAAGGCAGGGACTTTAATATACCTACTGTGTACCTGATGTTTTAAACTTCCACGGGAAACATCTAAAAATGCACAAAGTGAAAAATACCTAGTGAAAAATTTTGAACAACTTTAAAGGTACTTTCAAGATTTCTCAAAGTACAGTTTCAAGTTCAAAGTAAACTCAGTGAGAATGTGTTTCACTAAGAACCATCATCAGTATCAACCAGAGACGGTGGATTGTTAGGTCTAAGTTTTCCCATGGTGCCAAACACTGAAGGAACATTTTTTGTTATTTTTTAACAAATACTTTAAAGCTCCTGCTTTCTGCAAGGCACTGTGCTACAGAATGTAGAAGATTCAAAGGTGTTTGAGGTAATTATTCTGAGCTTAGCAAAAAATGGTAATACAAAATAGCAATTGTTGGCATATTTCAGAATACTTAGTAAAAAATTAAATACAATCAATGACTCAAATTAAAATATACCATAGTCTTAGCTTCAAGAAATATTTTTTCTAGCTGTACACCTGATTACTCTTCTGCAATCTTGTGTGAAAATTTCCCCCTACACCTCCCACTGCCACTGTACCTTGCCCTTTATTGTGTGTGTCCTTGGGATCCCAGCACCATTGAAGGGCATAGAACAATTGTGAGCTCAGGCTTAGAATGGGGAACTTGGGTTAGAATACTTCCCCAGTAATTGTGATTTGAACAGGTCCCATGATCCCCCTCTGCCTCAGTTTTCTATTACATAAAATGGGAATAATAAGGCTGAATCTATAAGACTGATACAATGATTGACACTTGTAAAGCATTTAGCAAATTGTCTAGCAATAGAAAGTACACAATAAGTGGTACTTTATTATTTTTTTAAAAATATAAATCAAATATTATTACACCTCTGTTTAAAACTAATTGATTTCCACTGTGCTTAGAATCAAAATTACTTATTAGCCCTTAAGATCACCTCCAATACCTTAAAAAATTTGTCGTTGTCTTGTCTTCCTTTGTGACCTTTTGTACGTTTTCCCTACATTTCAAACTTCCCTTGTATTACAGACTTCTTCCTGTAGCTGGATGATGCTAAGCATCCTTCCTCTAGGGATCTTTAAACTTGTTTTCTCTTCTATCTACAAAAACTCTTCAACAAGATAGTTGAGTGGCTACTTCATTTCGTTCTTATGTGGATCCTTATCAGGTTTATTATCAATGCCACTTCCTTAGTCGAGCCTTACTTGGCCTTCATGTGTATGTACACTTGAAGTTATTATTCTCTTCAGTTATGTTTCTTCCCAGTCACTCTTTGTCTTCATTACTTCACTTAACACTTAAATTCAACTTGTTTACTTATATTTGTCTTTCTTTACTAGAGAAAGAACCTGTAGAGAAAGGGCTTTTTGTCTTTTCACTAAACTATTCTATCCCCAATTCCTATAAAATGCCTCACACATAGAGATGCCCCCCAAAATTTCAAAGGACTGAATGCATGTATTTTTATGGATGACAAGTCCTATGCTGCCTACACCTGTCTCCAAAGAAGTATACTAATAATAATAATTTATTTTATTGGTGACTTCTTGAATTTCAACATACTTTCTTTAAATGAATAAAAGTTTTGAATTTTAAAGTGTACTGTAGTTACATATAAGAATGAACAAATACAGACAAGATCTACTCACACTTATTTTTTGTACATCAATTATAGACCTTAACTATTAAGTTATAATTGTGTGTCTTAGTTATTACCTATTGACTATGAAGAATTGAAATGCATTTGGAGTTTTAAAATCATGAGTCCTATACTTTATGTTCAGAGAAAGTTGAGTCACTACTAACCCAAATATTACTTACACTAGAAGTTGAAAAAGAAAAATAGATCAGAGTGAAATTGGACTGAATGAGGGTCCACTCACCCAACGCAGCAAAGACAAACATTGGCATCAGGATTGCAGCTAGAAGAAGTGAGGCATTGATTGCAGTGCATCAAGCAATGAGAATCAGGCACCTAATGCTTAAGACTCAAACTCCCTAATGTGACAGTCCCCAACTCTTTTGGTTTTGTGGAAGATAATTTCTCCATGGACTGAGGAGTTTGGGGATGATTTTGGGATGATTCAAGCGTATTACATTTATTGTGCACTTTATTATTACTACATTGTAATATATAATGACATAATTATACATTATACAACTTGCCATAATGTAGAATCAGTGAGCTCCGAGCTTCTTTTCCTGAAACTAGATGGTCCCATCTGAGAGTGATGGGAGACTGTGACACCTGAAGTGTATTGTGTATGTCCAGTCTACTCTGTAATCTCATCATGGTTGCTGTCACTGCAGGAAACTCTGCTTCGCAAAGAAAGGAAGTTAGAAATGGAAGCAGGGTTTTCAGTGCTTTTGTGGCCATTGCAGGATATTACTCTTTGATGATTAAGACTGAAGTTGTCTCAGACGTGCTTTTAAGGCCGCTGTCATTTGTGATCTCAAGTCGTTGATCCTCTTCTGACACAGACAAAGTCAATTCATCTGGCTTATTCACAAATGGGACACAGATCCATTCTTTCCCAGTTTGGCAGTATTTTGTGGTGAGGAAGGAATGCTCAAACTCTTTTGAAAGCTGAGATAGGTGATCAAGCACCAGCTAGGAGGACGAAGGCCTTGGCTCAGTCTCTTTAAAAATATCTGCTAATGTTTGAAATTGTCAAAAATTCCAATGTTAACTTGTCGCCCCATAATTCCAGTTTGGCTTTGAATGCAGCCACTGTATCTGCTGACTTGAACACAGCTTTCTTTCTTCCCTGAAGTGACAGATTGAGTTCACTGAGCAAGTTGAATATGTGACGCAAGTAAGCAAGTTTTGCAACCCATTCTGTGTCACTGAAATGTGCTGTCAGTAGTTACTGTTTTTCAAAAAAAAAATCCCTGGAAGAGGTCTCGTAACTGAAAAACTCTGGCTAGTGATCTACCTTTAGAAAGTCATCTCACCTTTGTGTGTAAGAGATGTGTGTGCTCTGTGCCCATCTCCTCACAGAGCTGTGCAAATAGACCTGAGTTAAGAGCATATAATTTAGTGTGGTTGATAGTTTTAATAACATCCTGCAAAATGTCGTTAAGTTTAGGTGGCTTTTTTGGGGTATCTAGCATTTCTCCATGGCTGTCACAGTGCATAGCCTCACATTCAGAAACGATTTCTTTCATATGAGTAGTGAAACCTGAAAGCCGTCCAGTCATGGCAGCCTCTCCTTTCATGCGTATATCAACACAAAATGACCAATACAGTTTTCCTGACATGTAATTATTCAAAGACTTGAATAGTTCTGCAGCTGTGATGTTGGTTGCCAACTAAAGTGCACAGAACATATCCTCATGCATATCCTCCTGAAAAAGATATTGCATGGAAACAAAGATTGTTGCCTTGTCAATATCTGCAGACTTGTCAATCTGGATGAATACCACAGTGACTCATTAATTCTCTCTAAAAATTGTGCCTCAATATCCTCTGCTATTTCATCAATTCATTCAGCTATGGTGCTAGTTGAGAGAGGGTCATGTGCCACCTTTTGAAGTGCAGCCTCTCCTAAAAGGTAACCACAAATGTCCTTAGCAGCAGGCAGGATGAACTCTTCACCAATAGTAAAGGATTTCTTGGTTTTAGCAGGCAGTTAGCCACTAGGAATTGTGCTCTTAGTGCAGACACATTTGCTGAAGCGGTGGTATGCAATGACTGTGTCTGTTATTTGTATTCAGATTTTTTTTTCTTTTGAAAAACACCAGAGGCTTGTCTTTTAATGCAGGGTGCTTGGTCTCCAAGTGAGAAATCAGTTTGGAAGGTGTCACAGCTTCATTGGATAGCCAGTTGCCACATATTTTACAACATGGGCTTGGAGAATGTGAATCACCTGTTGTAATGAATGCATAATTTAAGTAGGACTTGGTATTTTCTTGTAAATGCAGCTTTCTTTTTGCTGGCAGTCTTAGAGTCTTCTGCTATCTCATCATTGGCTGTTTACCCTTTTTTTCAATAAGCTTTCCAGTGATATTTGGTTTTCACTCATTTTGGTCAGGATTCGCTTGTGGGCACCAAAACTCTGATTGAAACAAGTGTGCAGTGTGGGAAAGGGCACAGAAAAAGTGGTAAATACAATAATGGGTGGACCACGTGCAGACAAAAATAAATATCAGGTTCTGATTTAAATCCCGTCACCAGATGCAGCTGTGAAATTGAAGTACACCAACTCACTTGCCACTATAAAGCTGCCACCTGATGCAGCTTAAATGTCACTTGCTACTCACTGATAGGGTTTTGATGTGTGTCTCTAAGCCATTGGTTTAGTATGGTCTCTGTGCAGTCAAAACTCTCTGCTAATGTTAATCTGTATTTGCAGCCATTCCCCAGCACTAGCATCACCACCTCAGGTTCACCTTAGATCATCATGCATTAGATTCTCATAAGAAGTGTGCAACCTAATCCCTTGCATGCATGCACAGGTCACAATAAGGTTCGTGCTCCTATGAGAACCTAATGATGCTGCTGATCTGACAGGAGGCAGAGCTCAGGTGGTAATGAGAGTGATGGGCAGTGGCTATAAGAACAGATGAAGCTTTACTGGCTTTCCCATCTCTTCACCTCCTGTTGTGTGGCTCATTTCTAATCAGCCACAGACCAGTATCAGTCTGTGGCTCAGGGGTTGTGGCCCCTTCCATAATGGCTTATAGATAATAGTTTTCAGAGGCAGAGACGCAGAGGTTATAGGCTAAATCATAATTCAATATATGGCAGCTACACATTAGTTTGACCTAAAAAGGTGGGATATCTTGAAGCAGAGAGGAGGCCCACAGATTATAGGTGGAATCAAAGATTTTCTGATTTTGTTAGTGGTGGAAGAGATTTGAGTTACTGGTGGCAAATCAGATCTGCAGGCAATCTCAATTCTTGCCTCCTCAAAAGAAAGAATTTTACTGAGGGGCATCAGGCAGAAGAAGAGACCAAGGCAAGCTTCAGTGCAGGAGTGGAAGTTTATTAAAAAGCTTTAGCACATAAGGAAAGGAAGAAAAAAAAGAAAAGGAAAGTACAACTTGGAAGACAGCCAAGTGGACAACTTGAGAAACCAAATGTGTAGCTTGATCTCTTGACTGAAGGTTTTATACATTGGCCTACTTCCGGGATCTTTCCTTGCTTCTTTCTACTCCTGAGATCTTATTGGGGAGTTGCTGATCAGTTTCAGGTGTTTTCTACATAGGAGGAGCCTGTCTTCCCCAGTGCCAGCTGTGACCAATTATTACTTTATAGAAACAGTTAACAACTGTCTGACCATCATCTGATGGTCGTCCAACACTCTTGGTGTGTTTGGGGAGCCCTCTCCTGCCCTGCTCATATGTGACTAGATAACTACTGCAACAAGTTGATGTTGGTTCATGAGGCAAAACTTTGTCTAAGTATTTAGACAAAGAATTAACAGAAAAGAATATTAGTTCTGACACAGGGCATGGCCTCCTCCATGGCCCCTCAGGAAGACGCAAAGAACAGTCCATGTTCATGATGCTAATAACGATATACCTGAGACTGGGCAATTTACAAAAGAAAGGTTTAATTGGACTTACAGATCTATGTGGCTGGGGAAGACTCATAATCATGGCAGAAGGCAAGGATGAGCAAGTCACGTCTTACATGGATGGCAGCAGGCAAAGAGAGAGAACTTATGCAGAGGAACTCCACTTTTAAAACCCTCAGATCTTGTGAGACTTATTCACTATCAGCAGAACAGTATGGGAAAGACCTGCCCCTGATTACCTCTCACTGGGTCTCTCCCACAACAAATGGGGTTCAAGATGAGATTTGGGTGGGGACACCACCAAACCACATCATTCTGCCCCTGACCCCTCCCAAATCTCATGTCCTCACATTTCAAAACCAATCACGGCTTCCCAACAGTCCCCTAAAGTCTAAGTCTTAACTCATTCCAGAATTAATTCAAAAGTCCACACTTCAAAGTCTCATGTGAGGCAAGGCAAATTGCTTCTACCTATGAGCCTGTAAAGTCAAAAGCAGGTTAAGTACTTCCTAGACAATGGGGGTAAAGGCATTGGGTAAATAACAGCTATTCCAAATGGGAGAAATTGGCCAAAATAAAGGGACTATAGGCCTTATGCAAGTCCGAAATCCAGCAGGGCAGTCACATCTTAAAGTTCCAAAATGATCTTCTTTGACTCCATGTCTCACATCCAGGTCATGCTGATGCAAATGATGGGTTCCCATGGTCTTGGAAAGCTCTACCCCAGTAGCTTTGCAGGGTAGAGCCTCCCTCCTGGCTTCTTTCATGGACTGGCATTGAGTGCCTGAGGCTTTTCCAAGCACACAGTGCAAGCTGTCAGTGGATCTATTATTCTGGGGTCTAGAAGACAATGGCCCTCTGCTCACAGCTCCACTAGGTGGTGCCTCAGTAGAGACTCTGTGTGGGGGCTCTGACCCCAAATTTTGCATCTGCACTGCCTTAGCAGAGGTTCTCCATGAGAGCCTCACTCCTGTGGTAAACTTCTCTCTGGACATCCAGACATTTCTATACATCTTCTGAAATCTAGGCAGAGGTTTCCAAACCCCAATCTAGACTTCTGTATACTGGCAGAGTCAACACCAAGTGGAAGCTGCCAAGGCTTAAGGCTTTTACCCTCTGAAGCCACAGCCTGAGCTCTATCTTGGCCCCTTTCAGCCACAGCCGGAGTGGCTGGGACGCAGGGCACCAAGTCTCTATGCTGCCCACAGCATGGGGACCCTTTGCCTAGCCCATGAAACCACTTTTTCCTCTTAGGCCTTCAGGCCTGTGATGAAAGGGGCTGCCATAAAGACCTATGACATGCCCTGGAGACATTTATCTCACTGTCTTTGGAGTTAACATTCAGCTCCTCGTTACTTATGCAAATTTCTGTAGCCAGCTTGAATATCGCCTCAAAAAATGGGATTTTCTTTTCTATCACATTGTCAGGCTGCAAATTTTCCAAACCTTTATGCTCTGTTTTCCTTATAAAACTGAATGCCTTTAACAGCACAAAAGGCATCTCATAAATGCTTTGCTGCTTAGAAATTTCTTCTGCCAGATACATGACATCATCTCTCTCAAGTTCAAAGTTCCACAAATTTCTAGGATGGGGCAAAATGCTGCCAGGCTCTTTGCTAAAACATAACAAGTGTCATATTTGCTTCAGTTCCCAATAACTTCCTTATCAACATCTGAGACCACCTCAGCCTGGACCTTATTATTCATGTAACTAACAGCATTACGTCAAAGCCATTCAGCAAGTCTCTAGGAAGTTCCAAACTCTCCCACATTTTCCTGTCTTCTTCTGAGCCCTCCAAACTGTTCCAACCTCTGTCTGTTACCTAGTTCCAAAGTTGCTTCCACATATTTGGGTATCTTTTCAGTAGTGCCCCATTCTACTGGTACCAGTCTACTGTATTAGTTCATTTTCATGCTGCTGACAAAGACATACCTGAGACTGGGCAATTTATTAAAGAAAGAGGTTTAATTGGACTTACAGTTCCATGTGACCGGGGAAGCCTCACAATCATGATGGAAGGCAAGGAGGAGAAAGTCACGTCTTACATGGATGGCAACAGGCAAAGTGAGAGAACTTGTGGACAGGAATTCCTCTTTTTAAAAGTATCAGATCTCGTGAGACTTATTTACTATCATGAGAACAGCATGGGAAAGACTCACCCCAATGATTAAATTATCTCTTACCAGGTGGGTCCCTCCCACAACACCTGGGAATTTAAGATGAGATTTGGGTGGGGACACAGCCAAATCATATCAATCAGTGTCAGAGTTTAGTCTTTGTTTCTTTCTTATCTGAGGTGTTGTACCACAGGATCCACTCGGTGATCTGGGTTTCTGAAAACAATTCAGGGCTATATGTTAAGATGTTTCCTTTAGTTTCTGTAGGGAAAGCAAACATTCTGTGATCTGACTTCCTTGGCTACTGTTTTAATATATTGTTAACTTCTTCCTTATCAAGTTGCTCATTTACTTCTCAAGGTTAGCTAGGTGTCTGGAATTTCTTTTGAAGGCATTCAAGAGTTTCCTTATTTTCTGTGCTTTGAGGAGGGCCCAAAGCTTCTAAGATGGGTCCCTGCTTTGTTTCAAAAGCAGTTTGAAGAGTGTGAGGCAGGCAAAACTTATAAGGCCCAGAGAGATAGGAGGACAAATCCTGGGTCACCTCTCCCCTGCCAGCATGCAAGTCACTCCCTAGCCCATTGTTTAAAGGTATTTTCTTTCTTCCTTGTAGTTTCAGGCTAGCTGATATATTACCTAAAGTGTTATTATAAGTTACACAAGGTGACCCTCACTTATTGTCTTCATTTTCCTGAAATTTTTGATACAAAAATAATGTATAGCCAATCAATAGCTTATGATCAATGTAGGAACTGCTCCTTCTTTTTTTCTTTTAAAAAAACACTTGTAAGGGCTGTCAGTCAGAGTATATATTCAGGGCACCTTAAATCTGTGTCTCCTTGGTTTCAGTCTCAAATTTGGCCCAAATAAACTATTTATGTTAATTTTGTTAATTATGTTATGTTAGTTTCTTTCTTTATGCTGATGAAGTTCAAAGACTAAATCTTAGTTTTATAGTCTTACAACTTCACAAGTCTTCTGTTGTGTCTTGTTTTCTAACTGCTTTATGTGAATTCTGCAGTACGATAATACATTTTTAAATATCCTCTGGTAGTTGGTGCAATATAAAACAATTAAAAAATTTTCCCAAATTATGTCAGAAGAATTGGATTAAAGTATTTAGAAAATATTTCATCTGATGGTGATTAGCTGACTTAAAATAGAAGAAAACGCAACTCTTTACTTTTCAGGTTTGCAAATGTAAGCTGAACAGACCACCACTTATCCAAGGGGACCCCATGGTAATCTTGAATAGTGAGTTCTCAGCTGTGACAGCATGGGGTGTCAGACACTCTGTTATACCCCCTCCTTTGCTAATCATGATTAGCCTTTCTTCCCTAAGGGCTTAACAAAAACCAGCCCTTTTAAAAGATTCCACCACTGATAGCAATCAACAGCCTGACACTACCCTTCCTTTTTTGTCTGATATGATACCAGTAAACACTGTGTGGTTCTGCTCAATCTATGGAGAATGTGCAATAAGGGATTTCATGTCTTTTGCTTCAAGCCTGGAAACTCCACCTTTGGCTTATGCTAATGCCAGCATTTTTTATACATGGGACCCATGAAGAGGCTTGAAGCTCAGTTGTGCATGTTCACATTTCTTCTTCATAAATATTCATGGTTCCTCCTATAGCTTATTAAATGTGCATATTCAGCTATCCTGCTCAGCATAAATATCTGTTCCCTTTGTATCTTCCTCAAAGTGTCTGTTTTTGACTTCTGACCAGAGGCTATGCTTCCCAGCCTGTCAGAATGGCCATACTGCCAGAAGTCTTTTTGAGAAATAAAGAAATAAATCCTTTGAGAAATAAAGTTCTCTTTTCCAAATTTATGAATGTCATCATTTTCCAGTTGACACATATTTCTCTAATGGAGTCTTTACAACTGATTTTGAGCTTTTTACTGTAAGTTAGCCACTCTGCACTAAAGAATGAATGGGGAGAATGTTTAAAATGTGTGAAAGTGTCAAATAAAGGAGAAAAATCCAACTATTAAAAAGTTAAAGTTAGTTTTATTCAGAAATCTTACTAAGGACTATAGACTGAGGCCTACAGCCTGGGAGCAATATTTTCAGGCTGCTTCTGCATGATACTTTGGCCCACTGCTTCTAAATAGGTGGTGGAGGCTCAGTATATGCAAAATCATACCAGACTTGCTCAGAAGCTGCATTAAAGCAGAATTGCCTCAAGGTTTGGATGTAAGAGTACATCTGGTTATATATTACAGATGAACAATTATTAACCCCATTAGACATTATGTTATATGTAGAAAAAGACAAGGACCAGGGTAATTTATCTTTTAAGTAATTTAGTGACTCAGGCAAAAAATGTTGGAGACCATATCCTGTTTTGTCTTTAG